GAATCGCGTGAGCTTATCGACAGAGAAGTAGAGAAGGAAACCCTCTAAGGGACCGTCAGAAGTCCTCAGATCTTTCACCTCATACAAGAGAAACAGATGACAAAAAGATGAAGCCCACAGTCAAGCGAGATCACATCGCCACACACGGATCACGAAAGAAAACAAACTGGGTGGCGGCTGCTTTTGAGGGCGGAGCCGGTCTTGCTTCACAACATTGCTGGTGGCCTTGCAACCCACTTTCGAGCTACCAACCAACCCTGCGCTCAGGGAATGATCACATGGTGCAGCGAAAGGCGCTACACATTAGGTGGTCAAAGAAAGTGTCCACAAATTAAATAAAGCCAAATTTACTGCAAGAGTACTGAGCTGCAAGCAAACACTTAACCTTAACCCAGGCAAAATCAGCACTTGTACCACCCGCACCGCAGGCTAGTGTGCTAATCATAAACTCCAGCGTGCCTTGCTAAGAATCGAAGAATTAGCGACTTGCAGAATTGGAGAAATAGGAGAAACCACGAGAAAATTCACATATTGCTGAGGAAGACTGCAGAATCGTCGATTTCCCAGTCCTTCCATTCTTCAGATCGATACATACACATTGTATTCACGACTTGTCTAATGCGCCAAATCCTGCGATTCGCCGATTCTTCGATTCTCTGGCTTTGCAAAGTATGAACCCGGTACCGAAGACACACTTTACCTCACTCTTCGGGACCCTATTCCTTGCCATGTGTGGGTTTAATGGGTCCACAGTTCGCTAGCGTGTCACTATCTTCGCTTGAAAGTGTACAGGAACGGATGGAGGGTAGTTTACCTGGGTGCCGTCCCCGTACTCCGCCCGCGCTGCCGCACGATCAGAAGGACGCTTAACTATAGCCAAAGGCCCTGGTTGTCTGCGCTCTCTCATCTCAGGTCGTTCTCTACGGGATCTTGGTACCGATGCAAGTGCTGCACCTTGAGGGCAGCGCGGACGGAGTATGGAAAGGGCACGCGGGTACAACTACCCTCCAGCCCCATCCCCGTGCTTCTTTTGAGCGGAAGAAGTGACACACTACTGCAGCTGCGGAGCCATTCGCCTCGCACATTGCAAAGGTTGTCCTCGGAGGTGAGTGTACAGTTTATCTTCGAGCTAAGTAAGATGTCAAGACTAATGGGATTCTTATAATAATAAAGCCATCTGTTAAGTGCAAAGGTGCACCCCACGTTGGCACATCTGCCGGTGAGGCAAAAGTTTGCCAAATACTCGTGGTAACTTTCGGTCTTGAACTGAGGCGCCGAACAGTCAGGCAGGGTTCAGACTTCGCGAAGAAAGCACT